AAAAAAAAAAAAAAAAAAAAAAAAGAGCGGGAAAGAGAAATGACCACAGCAAAGCGAAGGCCACCAGCTTTGGCAAGGGAGCCGACGATGTGGCGAACGGCATCCGTCTGCGCAAAAGAGGAACGGTGATGCTTTCTAGGAGAGGCATCATTCGCAAGCTTCAATTGAGACGAAAATGAGAGGGATTGAGATTTTGCAGGATTTTGCCCCTGAAATTGAAGTTGAGTGCGATTGAAGTTTGAATTGGAAAATGCGAGCGTCAGATTTTGACGGTAAACCAAGCCCTGAGCCGCACCCGCAAATGAGACAGCCATTATCAACCCAGAAAAGAAGCGCCGCGAAGAAGAAGAACCAGTGCGCGTTTCTGCTTCTACTCGCTTGACTTCAGAGATGCAATATATATATATATATATATATATATATATATATATATATAAGAATAAATAATTTAATCACTTAAATATATTTATTTTAACAATAAAGTCATGAAACATTACGAAAACTGATGAGATTAAATTTAGACATTAAATTAGATATAATTAATTTTTAAAGCTAATATTTGAGAATTTTTCATATTCTCATAATTTTAATATTTATTTTTTCAATGCCATAAAATTAATTGATGTTCAATTTCTACTCTTTTACAAAATAATAAATTAAATATTTTAATATATATATATATAATGCACATCATGATTCATGCGGATTAATTAAATAACAAAGATAAAATAATTTGTAATTAAGAGGTTAATTATATATATAATTAATTAACCTAGGAAGCACGAAGCAAGCCTGGTCAGTTTGCTATGTTTTTTGTTTAGATATTTAAAATTTGCATTTTGTTATTATTATTATTATTTTTTTTTTTGTAGTAATGGCAGATTTGAATATTGGAGATATAGCAATTTATGTTTTTTTTTTTTGCAAATAAGATAAATTTTAATAAATATTTTTATTCCTATTTTACCCTCATCTATTTTTGTGAGACGTTCTCCTCTTTGTAGTTCTTTTGTTTTTCTCTTTGCTTGGCCATGAGAAGCTCGAAAATGGCAGAACACCGAGTTTCTAAAAGTTGATAGTCTGATATCATAGTTTTTTTCGTACGTAGCTTTTGTTAGACGAACACGTCTCTCTACAATGGTATGATATTGTCCATTTTGAGCATGGCTTTGCTTTGGGCTTCCCAAAAGGCCTCACACCAATGAAGTTAGTATTCCTCACTTATAAACCCAATCATTCCCTAAATTAGCCGATGTGGGACTTTCATCATCCAACAGCTTTCATTATGTTTCTATAAGAGCACGTATGACAATTATTAAAATGGATCGAACTCCTTGACGAATCGTTCGATGTTTATATCAGAACTACCACCTTCCTCCATGGCTTCTTTAGCCAAATTTCTCAACTTGATTGAGTTTTGTTTAATCTCATTTTGTCTATATCCTTGAGAAACATGTCGAAGGGAGGCTTCTAACTCTAACTTGGTAGCAATCCCTTTGTCATTCATTTTAACTCGAGCTCCTACTTTCCAAACATCAGCGACGAACTTGGCGTTCGTCGTTTGATCGATCCACTGCGGAACTGCGATCATTGGCACACCTAAACTTAGAGCTTCTATCGTCGAGTTCCAACCACAGTGCGTGATGAAGCAACATATGGACTTGTGAGACAGAACTTGTAATTGACAACACCACTTGACAACTAAACCTTTGTGTGATGTTTGTTGCATGAAGTTGTTGGGAAGTTTTTCTTGTTCGGATTCTCTGAGGACCCATAAGAAAGAAAAGTTAGTGTCTTTGAGGAAATTGGCTACTTCCTTCACTTGTTCTTCGGGTAAGATAACTAAGCTTCCAAATGAGATGTAAATAACTGAAGCAATTTCTTTTGAGTATAACCATTGAAAAATCTTGCCATGGTTGAGATTTTGATGATTTAGACCGTATGTTTTGTCATCCTTCAACCGACCGTCCAAATATGCCGATGGAATGCTTGGTCCGATCGTCTTGATCGGCCATTTTTGTGCCATCCAATTAACAACCTGGATGTGAACGATTCATAAAAATTCTATAACCAATACCGGAAGAAGAAAACTAAAAACATTAAAGCTCTATCTTTTGTTTTGAAATTTTTGTGGAGATGAGTTCTAGCTTACCATTCGAATTGAGGACGGCTCAGAGAATCTCCACATTCAGAACTAAGCGTAGTAGTAAAAAGTTGTATCACTCAACAATTGAATTATATCAATTTTTTTTTTTTTTAACAATTTCTTATCTCTAGTTAACCTCTCAATAGAATTCGAACTCATATTCAGTTCTTACCATATGCCACAAAAAAAAAAAGAAACGAACTAACCGATCTAGTAGGATTCCTGAGAAATTCTTCCATTTCTTCTCAAAATCGGATAATTATTCATATGCTTCTCGTGTTCTCTAAATAACCGGGACATTAAACAATATCAAAAAAAAAAAAAAAAATTAAGAAATCAAGAATATGCACTTATGACTGAAGAATTAAAAGAGATGCTAATATAATATCATTTTCGTTCATGCATTATGAATTTTATTTCATTTTATATTTACACTTCCAAGTATCTAATTTTATATTCAAGTGTATTTATAAAATTTAGAAATATTTTATTAATTTAGTAGTTAGAAGCATTCACATACCTTCATCTCCAGCTGATCGAAAGTGTTGAAGAAAATCCATTTCGCGTTCTTGAAACTGGAAAATTGATCGGTCATGAATTTCAGGACCAGTTCTGGCTCGTAGGAGAAATACGGCAGATCCTCTGTTTGAAGAACTGGCAACGGCGGAATCGAAATACCCGCCGCCACATTTTCCACCGGAGGAATGCTGAATGAGCCTTCATAGACCTGATTCAGAATGTGATTGACGACACAAGACTCAGTGAACAACGGCGCCGAATCGATCCCTCGCACTCTTGCCACATCCATCGCCCAAGGCATTACAGAATCGAAAACGACGAAGCGCGGAGGATCGTAACCAGAACTTCTTAGTGTTCTGTCGATGAAATCCCCAAACGATTTCGATACGACGGCCTCGAAGCTCTCATGCTCGTCCTTCAGCGACCGAATCGGTTCAGTGCGGACGTCGGAGATGAATCGAAGATCGATTTGATACGACGCAGGAAGATCGATTTCGAGAGATTTAGTTGCAGAGGTAGTGGTGAGAAATGTTATTCGAAGGCCTTTTGAGGCCAATCGCTTTGCGAACTGAAGCATTGGACTCAGGTGGCCTTGCTTCGGATAAGCGAACAGCACCACATGGCTCAATCGCCTTCCGCCGTTCGCCGTCGTGTTGCTCATTCTCGCCGGTATCTCTCAGTAATGAAGATTGAAATCTTTAACTAGGATGAGTTCGTCTTAGACCCACTCCTACTTTCTATGGAGTACTTATTTAGATCAGTTAAGCTGCACTTATTAACGAAAGTCTTACTTCAGCTAATTTAAAGAATTATCATGCCTTTATAATTAAAAATTACTATCTCCATTATTAGTATTATGTCTTTTAAGAAATTCAGAGCATCTAAGAGTGGACAATATCATATCTATGGAGAGTCATGTTCATAAAAAAAAAAGATAGAGAGTCATATTCATCTAAGAATATTAGAATTTTTTAATTTTTTTCGCCTAAAAATAAATAAATAAATAAATGAAAAATCTATAAATAAAACAGAAGGTGGCGTTGGTGGTGCCCCCAACACGTGAAACACGATGATGTCTAATATTTGAGGTTTAAAAAATAATTGAGATTTTGTTTTAGTATATAATAAATATGAGATAGAATGATTCGAGTATTCCAAGTTATATATTTTAATTATTGATATGTAATAGAGGGCTACATTATTTGAAGAGTTTTTTTCGAAATTATGTTGTTTTGGTGTTAATTGCTATTTTATAAACTCATATTTTTATATTTAAAAATGGTTTTAAGAATATATTAATTCTTAACTTTCCAATTGAAAATATTTTAAATCATAAATATAAATAATTTTATAATTAATTTCGTAGCAACTGAGCAAGTTAAAAATAACTTCTCAACGATTTAGATGCTCAAGAAGAGCGTCTCGAACATTTAGTTCCAACACAGTGTATGAAGAAGTAATCGATAGTCAAGTGAGCCAAGACCTATAGATGGGAGCACAAGCTAACCACAACAAAACATAATCAGGGGGCTCGCTTAGAAGCCATTTGAGATAGACATCTTAGTTGAGTTCGTACAGGCTTAGACCATAGTTGTTTCTACGGTTTTCATTATCTACAAGCATTAGTTCGAATTCGAGGTCAAAGTGCATCGAGCTACGGTAAGTTTCGTTGTCAACCTCTGAACCTACTCACTGGTTCCACTGCCATCGCCCCAAGGTTCAAAAACTTCAATGTAAGAACAATTTACAACAATGAGGATGCACAATGATACTCAAATAATTTGGTCAGTTCAGCAACAGGAAACTAATCAAATAAGACCTATCAAAATTTTGATATGATACGGTCACGATACCGTAAAGAAAAAATCCTTGCGTTTCCGAAGCCTGTGTTCCAAATCCTTATGAATGATAGGGAAAGTGATCCCAACTCCAATTCCAAATGAGCAACCTTGATTAAATTAATGAACAACATGACAAGTAGAAAAAGCAGATACAATTTCATGAAGATTCTTCTTCCAGTCCTAATTCTGGCCATAGATAAATTTGATTCCAAAGCCCATCCCAGTTGTGAATGCAGTTAATATACACAAAGGAATTGATAATGAACATACAGAATAAAGGGATCATACAGATCAAACAATCCTTCAGTAAATAACATAGCTCATTATTGTTGATGATACTCCGGGTTAAATGCAAGTGCCTCTCGGTAGATCAGCTCTTTCATTTGTTCCTCAGTGAGAGCGTGCTGCTCGAAATCAAAGCTGAAGGGTGTCATGCACACAGGCTCGTCACTAATGTCGTGCAATGAAGTCAAATAAGGATGAGCTAGAGCATCTTCAACTGCAAAAACATACATAGATGATAACAAAATACACCAATAAAAATGAGAATTAAAAGAATCAAATATGGGTATATGAGCCAGCATCCAGAGACACAGTTCACGGTTACGAAAATGTTCGAAAAATACATTGAATTAACAGAAGAACGGTCATCTACATAGTTCAGAAATCAGACAATTCAAACACCCGAACGAGGAAACCAATCGGTATGGGTTTGCCTTAACCCAATTGGGATTTATATTTAATTGAAGAGATCAATAAATTAGTATTGCCCTGTGATCGGACAACGGGATACGGTACAAAGTATTTTGGTGCCTGAAAAAGAATAATTTTTTCATTGATAACATAACAAGAAAAAATTGCAATATTAACTCACCGGTAATTCTCTGTCCAGGATCAAATGCCAGCATCTTCTCCACCAGATCAATGGCTGAAGGATGAACATGTGGAAATTTTTCAGTGAATGACTGCCGATGGTAGTGAGGAAGTTGTCGTATGTATCTTTTAGCGTTCTCGTTCAAGAAACCAAGATCAGCCTCTGATGGAGTGCCTATCAGCTGCATGATAGAGCAGAGCAGACTAAAACAGTAAACAAATGAATACCATTGATAACAAGAATTGTTTGTGAAGTACGGATATATTTCATAGGAGTTGCTCCTGAGGGTATTTTTTTTACACCTAATACTATTTAGATGCACATACATATATGCATACTGGGGTGAAAACCAGCCAGTTCAATTTGATCTGTTTAACATGGACCAAAACAAAACCAAACTGTCGAAATAAAAAACGGAAGGACCTCTTCAGATTCAAGCGTTGTTTTGTACTATTATGTCCAAAATAAGTTTAGTTTAGGTAGGTTCAGCTCCGTCTAAGTTTTGAATACTAAAAAGATTTGAATGTGCTTGATATTTAACACCCAACACATGAGAACTATTCATAGACGGGGGTCTCTAAAGCTTAAACAGCTTGTTTCTTTCTTTCTTTCGTGATCAATAGGCAAATAGTATATTGATTTTCTCTTATTTTCTTATTAATATACAAGATACTATTTCGTTCAAATGAATTTTGACCACCAAAATTGGACGATTGTGTTCATGTTAAGAACCAAACATGAAGTATCAGGAGAGACTATGAAAGTACCTCCAAAAGCAAGCGTAACTGATGCACATGATCTCGACCAGGAAACAAGGGCTTCCGATCCATCAGTTCCATAAAAATACAACCAACAGACCAGACATCAATAGCTGCTGTGTAATCAGAAGAATTAAGTAAGAGCTCTGGTGCACGGTACCATCTAGTAACCACATATTCCGTCATAAAGTCAGTTTCAGAAGTAACACGAGCAAGCCCAAAATCGCATATTTTCAGGTCACAGTTGGCATTTAATAGCAGATTGGAAGGCTTCAAATCTCTGTGTAGAACATTTGCTGAATGTATGTACTTCAATCCACGAAGAATCTGGTACAGGAAGTACTGCATGATACATAAAGACGGTAATTATTTTGATGTAGAAACCAATAGAAGTATCCCATTAAAGGAAGTTACATGGTCGCATGTTACTTGATAAGATTGAGTATGAAAGGAAAAATTCACGTTTTCAACATCCTCAAAAGTTTTTAAATCTTGTTATCCATCTAAGCATCTAAACAGAATTGTTTTAACAACCAAGAGATTAACCAAGATCCAATACTAGAACTATTGTCAAAGGAATTCCAGTATCTGAATTAAGTCCAAGTCCCATACTTCCTCTATCATCTAAAGTTCAGGTTCCAAACACGTTCTTGCATTCCACGGACTGAAAAATCTAGGATATTGAAAAGGGACAACCCACATCAAGCTTTTTTCTAAACTTCCACCACACATTCACTTTCCATGGAATGATTGGTAATTTTCTAGTTTACTAGGAAATAAACATCCTGTTAAGCTCAGTTGTCCGATAGCCAGACTATTTGAAAGGGTGTTTGCAAAGTAAAGGAGGACTAGGCGTCCACCAAAAAACCAAAATCAAGAGCAAAAAATGAGATAACTACAAAGAAAATGTCGGGTCAGGACTTTCACACAACACACATCATAGCTTAATATGGTATCAATAGGGTATATGCCACCCCCAAGGAGTAGCCTGTTTTCATCTTTTAAAGCTAGCTCAGAATTTTGAAGAATGGAAACAATATTGTACCAACCAAAAAATATTATCCTACTTCAAGCTTAGCCTCCTTATTTTACAAATGTTTCTGAAAGATTTACTCAAATAATTGGAAGAGCACAAAAATTCCAAATGATCCAGAGGGTTGATATCTAAATATTTTAAAACACAGAAATAATCCACCAACAAGTGCGTGTACAGAATATAACCTGACAGTGCTCCTCTGATAATGCTTGGTTTGAACGAATTATTTGATGAAGGTCGGTATCCATTAACTCATATGCTATGTAAACATCATTAAATGTTTCCCTTAGAGGCGGAGGAATGATATCCTTAATTGCAACAACCTGAATCACCATCATCAGTAATACAATTATACAAACATTTCAAAAACACTATAACTCATCTCATGGGGCATTAGCACAACCAAACTAAAAGCTACATTGAATGCCCTTAAAGTAAAAAATCATATCTGATTGCACAACAATCCATTTCAAAGTAAAAACATAACTTCACAACGTTATTGTGCTGGTACAGAAACTAACACCAAACTAGAAATTAATAAGTAGAATTAAAGAGAAAAATAGAACAGAACGAAATCCAATGAAATAGACCCAAAGTACATAATCAACATTTAAGAGATCATAACACCAACGATTCTTTTGGAGATCTGAGTAATATCATTCCATAATTATGTAATTCCAATATATTGTGATGACATCCAAATTAAACCTTGACACCCTACCAGAGTTAAAAAAGTATTGATGGCAGGATGTGCGGTTGCAAATTGCAGCTTTCTTTCACATAATCTTAGTTTTATTATGTTCCGTAAAAGAGATCTTTATACAGTAGGGTTCAATCTTAATTCTTATTAAAAGATTGTCCCTAACCTACACCGTAGGTTTGATACACAGGATAGCAACCATTAGAAGGAGAAATTTATGCATTCTTAATCGTTTTTTCTTTTTAAAATATGGATTTTAAGTATTATGTGTATTACATTTCCTACGTATTGAATCATGTTAAGTAAGTAGTTCCATTATTGGGCAAATTTCTTAAGTTGCTTTGGAACTGGAAGTTTAAAAGCCTCGTGCACTATTTCTTTCTAAATCATAAATCCTTTAGAATTGTACTCAGTCCCATTATTCTTATATCTATGTATACCCAAGCTCTCAAAGGACAACTGTCTAACCCAACAATATTTGGTTGCCA